ATACAGGGTTAGACATGGTGGTGCCCACCTATGGGTCTAAAACTTGGAAGGCTGGGACAGGAGGGTTGCCTTGAGTTTGAGGCTAGCATGGCTATGTAGTGAATTCACGGCCAACCTAGACTACACAGAGAGACTCTAGCTCAAAAATTAAAAAAAAAAATAAAATAAAATTAATCATGTAACTACTGTGGGAAAACCATATTTCTTCCCACGTGGAATTCATGATCTAGGGGGAAAAGTGACACTCAACCCTTCATTTCAACAATCTTGATGGCTACAGAAGAGTATGTTCAAGGCGTATAGCATTTCCTCAATCTCTCATATATTTACTGAGATGTGATATTGGGGAGATGCTAGGTTTTGGTAGTTGTTTTCAATCATAGTTGAAATAAGAGGAGCCTTCTTAGTACAGCAGAGCCTGTCGGTATTTATAATATCTAATACACCCAGATGCAGTCACTGCAAATAGCCTGAAATGCTTCCACTTGAAGAGTGCAGTAGTGTTTACAGACTTGTTCAGTAAATTCGTGTGGATTCTGTGTACATCACCGTAGCTAAGATATTAATACACAGATTTTCAGCATGGGAGCAAGTATGACTTGCTAGAAAGAGTGTGGAGTCTATAATCCCACTGAGCATTGTAGAATCTTCTTTTGTGGTTAAATGTGTCACTTAATCTCTCTGAGCCTGTTTTGTCACCTCTAAAACAAGCATGTATTCTTAGAAAGAAATATGAGGAAAGTATGTATATTTCACATTGCTCGGCATGTCAGAGACTCAGAGGAGATGAAATCTCTGTATCCTATGCTTTTCTTCCTCCTTGTCCTTTAAATGAAAATCTCTGGGCTTCTTGGAGCAAGAGAAATAACAGCTACACTCTGTCGTGGACATCAGTCCAAGTGTTAAGTAAAATTAATGTAGACTTACGTTTCTGGAATCTCAGAGACTGAAGTGAGATTGTGGAACAGGGTCCCTCTGAGTCTCCAGGAATGTGTCACAGAAAATACCCCATTGGTGCTGTCTTCAGGTTCCTGCTTTCATGGGACTCCGCTCCTGCCAGGATGAGCCACATGACCTGCCTGCGCTTCCTCTCTGACTTCCCCAGCCATGACTCACAAGCTTGCGTGGTAGACATACTGGAGTGTAGGGCTGGGTGTTCCTGAAAAGATATCGTACATAGCACCTGTGCACACGGGGTAAACCTGAATCCCGGACATCGCCCTCTCTTCTTGCTGGCTAATCCTTCATGTTAAACCAGCCCCGCATGTTTTGTTACTGAACCTGGTCCTTGAAGAATTTCCTTTCCCTGTTTCTCCTGAGATCTCATCCCCTCTGTCTTCCTCATTCCTTCCCCTCTGTTAGTTACACAGATCCACATAACAGTCACGTGATGGCCCAGTCTACTTTTGTGCATACAGTACAGGCAAGCACAAGTGATTGTGGCTGTCTTGTCTGGGGTGGTATTTACCCCTAGTTTTCAGGGTGACTTCTGTTGATCCCTATTCTGGGAATCACTGTGTTAATGTGTCCTGTTATGGCTTGTGTCTGGATATCCCTACAAAGCTTCGCACAGGGGTGGGAGATAGCTGAGTCCGGAATGTGCCATTGTTTCATTTTCCTAGCGCTGGGACTGGCAGTGTGAGTGCTACACCTGCCCTTGGGCACGTGGCCTGCAGGCAATGTAAGGGAGGAAGAGAGGCTTGCTCTTTCCCACTTTTGCTGTCTTCTGCTGCCTTGAAGTGTTGCCCCTGGTCCATACCACCCTCCCTGGGAGCCAACTCATTACAGACTGAAACCTCCAAAAGCTGTGAGCTAAATAAACCTTTCCTCCTTAATTTTGGGCATCAGATATTTTGTTTTAGAAATGAGAGAAAAGTAACTAAGACACCTCCCAGGGACCAGCAAAGGTCTCACTGTTTCCATCTTTTCCATGTAATTCACAGGGCTACACAAGTGTAAAGGACTGTGGGAATGATTCACTGCCTTCTGCCTTAAATTATTAACACCCTTGATAAGGAGGGCGTAGCTTTATCACTTTTGATTTTAATAACTATTTTTCTAGATATAATTCCTTAAATGTGCTTTTCTTAATATTAGATATTTTTAGCTATATTACTGAATTCTTACTAGGATTTACTTTCTCATTTCCAAAAGTAGGAGATTGGATTGGCTGATTTTCAGGGTTGTTTACTTGTTCAAAAGTATATAATTTCTTAAATCAATTTATATTAGTTTATGACTTTAACACTTATATGTATGGCTATCATTTATCAGTTCTTAAAATATTTAAATTATCCTTTTTTTATTTTCAAATGAACTGATGAGTTAAAAATCTAACATCCATCTAATTTCATTTTTCTCTTTTAAAACCACCGCTTGTTACTCTGAAGGCTAAATGTGTTGCTGGGAGATGTTGATTTGAGAACTGTTATCTAATCTTTCCTCTAATATTTTAGAACCATAGAAGAGAAATAAAATAGTAACAACCTCACAGAGTCACTCTTGAGAATAACTGGTACTATGTTTGCAAAATGACTTTGTAAATTATAAGATACCACCAAATATTATCTAATTTATTAGGAGAAAGGAAGTAGAAGTTAAGAAAAACAGATAAATATATCTGTGTTCTGCAGTACGAATTTCATCTCTTAGCAATAAAGGAAAAGGATTCAAATGCTTCCCAAACCGTTCATTTGTCTTGAACTTTCCCCCCTATCTCAAATATCAATAATGGATCAGCGCAAGCGCAGGTATTAGATAATTTAATTGACATGAACCACATGGCACAAAGTACACTCTTACCTAAACATACTGAGTTGTTCAAAAATGTGAATCTTTTTGAGTATTTTTGAAGTTTTTCTTTTTTTTATTTAAAGAGAAAAAAAGAAAGGAAATTAAAAAAGTAGTAAAAGGGTACAAATAATACAGAATTTCAAAGAAAAAATACAGTAAGATATCACTAGTTAATAGGTTACATATTGTCATCTTTGAAATAGTTGTCCAAATTATAAAATTAAAGCATGTAAAGTGAACATTCATACGAGATTGCAGTCAGTGCCGGTCAATAATCCAACAAAAGTTCAGTAATATGCATTTCCATCCTACACACTCAAACATACTTGCAGGTATATCCATTAGTCCACCTTCCTTTCCTCTCTTTTTAATAACAATTACACAATTTTTGAAGTTTTTCAACATGACGGGAGGTGGTGTGGCATATTGAGTTCAAGGGATGACTGTAATGAGAAAGATTATTGTTTCACATAGTTACTAATGTGTAGCTTTTTAATTTCTAATGTAATCCAATCTTATTATTCTTAAAGCTTGTCAAGCTCATTACCCCTTTAGAATTCTGCATTCTTTTCAGTCCGTGTTCGGATGGTTGGATGGGGAGATCACAGCTTCCTGAATCCTCTTCTATGCAGACCCAGCCCTGTAGCAAGCAAAGTCCTGGATTCCGTGCAGTTACCACCTAGGTCTCAATTAGACTCTTCAGCCCTTGAGCTTTGTTAGGTCTGCAGGTGCCTCCCTCCTGGGCTCAGCAGGCATCCTTCACTCTTCTGAGCCAGTCTTCCTCCTGGAACTCTGGAATTCACTCATCAAAGACAGTAGGACTCTTAGTTTTGTTAATATTGTTTTTCTTTTCTCACAATGTACATCTTAACTTCTTCATGGTTCTTTTCTCACTTGTAAATGCCTTCTGGTCTCTGTTGTCCTCTGGCTACCAGGTAGAGCTGCTCATTCCTGAATGCTTCCCCCTTCACAGTCTCCAGGCTGAGTTCTGCTCTGGTTTAGTTATCAACCTCCAGGAAGCAGTGTAAGAACTGGGAAAAAAAAAAAGGGAAGAAAGCACAGGCGAGAGTAGAAGAAGCACTAGATTGTAAACACAAGTGTGTCTTTTTTGAAAGAAGAAAAATCAGAAAGGAACATTGTGTAAAGAAAGCCTCAGACTGCCGGGGGTTTTAAGAAAACCTCAGCCAGGTTCATGGGTGACTCCAGGTGTGGTGTGCATCCCAGCTTCCCAGTCAAGTCATTGGGCTGGTTGGACTCCCCATGGGCACATAAGGGTCACTGCCTGGGGACTGCACCCTGGAACTCGCACTGCAGCAGCAGCTGCTGTCCCCGGGTAACTGGGTGGTGTCAGCTAACTGCACCCTGTCGGAGAGATCTGCATCTAGTCTTGGTAGGTGGCACAAGTACCGTACCGATCATTGTTGATCTACTTTCTCAAAGCTGACAAGAGGCTCCATCGGGGTCCTTCTTCTCTGAATATGCAGCTTTTGATGATGTGATCCTTTTAGGCTGGCAAAATATTGTGATTCTTCGAGGAAAAAAATATCATAAAGAATCTATGAAACTGCTGCAATGGACTGTCTGCTTTATTTCTACTGTGTGGTCACCATCCTAGGAAACGTGCACCAGGAGAGAAAGGACCATCTCGATATTCATGAGCTGAAAAATTTGTCACTCAGGATTAATTTTGAAACATGCAGAGGATACTTGATAATTCAAAAACCTGGATAATAACAATTAACTTCATACTATTTCTTTAAGTATTTCTATCCAGTATTCTGAAAAAAGATCTATATCTATATCTATATTTCTAGGTAACTGTTGTCTCATATAGTCGTGTACTTACCTTGTAACAAAAGCAGCTAATATGCATTTATTAAGGGTATGCATATAAATTTACTTGTATTTATAAGAGCCTATAATCACCTATCTTTTCATCTATAATGTGGCCCCTCAAAGTACATTTTTTAACAGAAGGGTAAAGTAAGTTACTAAATTCATGAGGTACCCATGGCCATATGGCTGAAAAAGTACAGAAAGTGTGATTCGATGCTAGGCCTTGGTTTTCAGAGTTCATCTCACCTGTACCTTGCTCGTCGCGTTAATACCCAGTACACTTTCCATGCAGTTGTTAACTACGCAGTGTAGACCTCTTACCTTCTCAAAGCATTTGCATCACACAATGAAACTTTTCCTGTCTTTTTCAGGTCCCTGTGTCCCTAATCCATGCCATAATGGTGGAACCTGTGAGATCAGCGAAGCATACCGTGGGGATACCTTCATCGGCTATGTGTGTAAATGTCCCCGAGGATTCAATGGGATCCACTGTCAGCACAGTAAGTCATTTCTGCCCTCGAAGAAATTCAGCGGTGATGGGTCTGAAGCATGCGCGCCATTACAATTCCCGTGTGTACTGCGAATCTGTCAGCAGCCCGGAGCCTGGCATTTGGCTAATGCTTCCCCTCTCCCACTGATGCACCATGCTGGTAACTGAGGCATTTCGGGCTGTCTCAGTTCTCCCAGTGGTGTGCAGGGCTAGTCATCGACCGCTTGGCCCTTTGCCATAATATTCAGCTGTGTTTGCAAAATACTGCTCTCCGTATTAAATTGGATTTGTCTCTCTCTTTCATCCTCCTAAAGCTACATTCTCCAAGCTTCACAGGAAGCATTCTTGTAATTAGGTACAGAGATGATACCCCAAAAAGAACACTATGCACACTTCCCTCTCATGAAGCCAGTTTCCTCCCCCTTACTTGTTGGTGATTTTAGTCTGAATATCTAAAAATTCAGCAAGCCTATCATCTGAACTCCTCTTCTGTGTCCCTGTCCCTTAAAAGCTAACCAAATAGGTCCAGGTGTGATAGGTTATTCATGGAAGCTGGGCTGAGCATAAAGCTCAAATATGTGGTGCATCTGTTTCCCTTCATGGAAACAAAATCCCTAAGAGAAACAGTGTGAAGGAGGAATAATTCCTTCAGGCTAAAGACACCAGTTCAGAGCTCTTGGCTCCCTGATGAGACAGCAGTGTGGTGGGAGGCGTGTCTGGGGAAGTCAGGGAGGAGCAACAGGCCTGGGAGAGGGGTCAAAGTCCTGTCTCTGCGCACAGCTGCACTGGGGATCTGCCTCCAACCTAGGCGCTTTAGAGGGATATTCTAGGGCCTACCCATAGCAGCAGGTATTGGCTCCCATAGGCTGGGAGGCCACCATGAGATCTGAGGTCTCAGGAAGGTCCTTGCAAGGGTTGCTGGTGCCACAGGAAGGACAGGAAGTTGATGAGAGGGAGGGAAACCAAGTGTGGCAGGAAGAGCAGGAAGGACCCTGTGAGATAGAAGCACTGCAGGCATCCTTAGACAGCAGTGTGGGGAATGCAGCAGGCAAAATGATTTGATGGCCAGGAGCCATCGCTGGACTTCCCAGGTGCCCTAGCTTCAGGATCAGCCTGTTGCTCCTGGGGGCTTTCCCAGGCCCCAGTGTGGAGAGGTACTGGGCACTCGTACTCCCCATGCTCAGCTCCTGAACTGCTTGGGATTGTCCTGCGATCCTCAGTTCCTGGAATAAATGAGAGGCCATTATTGGTTTTTGCCAGGCTGGGTCTACAGGACCAATTCCCCCTTCACTGCTCATCCTTTGCTCATGAGCATCTCAGAACAGTCCTGGTTAGACAGAGGTGGAGACCCAAGTTCCCAGGTGAGCCAGTTGCATAATCCTTTAAAGAGAAGCTCTTCAGCCCTACTTCCATGTGGAGGCTTGGAACAAGGGAGCAGAGGAAGTCCCGTCAATTTGCACAACTCAGCTCTGAGCATGGTGCACATGCACATGCACACACGATGCCTCTGGGAGAAGAAGCAGAGTGCCATAATGGGCTGTTGTGCAGTATTCAGAGAAGGCATTGTGCCCAAGCTAAATGTATCTTAACCTCCTGTTTCCCATAGAATAAGGCTCCAGTTTGGAGAGGCTGAAGTACCTATAAGTGGATTCATGCTGTTAGAAAAATCCCTTAGTGAGTACAGAAAGACAACACATGGACAGAAGGTGCAGACCCTCAAATGTTAAATATTGCACATGAATAGCATCTGTCCTAATGGCACAAAACCCTTGGTTTATGGTAGGCCTTCTTTTTACTGTAAAGGGTAGTTTACTTTCCGCCATTATCTTTCATGGTGAGAAGTCCCCCTGAAAATGTCGAGTTTTCATTTGCCCCAGTATGTGTGAGGCTTCCCTGGGAAGTTATGGGGCAGTGTCCACCTGCTTCTGACTCTCACTGCAGGCGGTTCATGAATTATTTCAGGAGAGTCATTAGGGTTGAGGGTAAAGAACACATCATTCTTTTCCCATTTGCCATGGTGGAATGTCCAAGCTTTATTGCTTGTGCTCTTAGCTCATATTCAGGTAAGCTCATGAGTTCACGCAATGTTGCTGAATTTTAGGACTTGCTTTGATCCACAAAAACCTTCTTCTTCTTACTTTATCCATCAAACTACGAGGCCTTAAGCCTTCTGAATCACAATGGTGAGCTGGAGGCTGAGATTCAATTTAGAGCTCAGATTCTGTGATTTGAACTTCCAGGACCCTATTCCCTGGAGTACAACATTTTTAGTGGCAAGAGAGAACTGAGGATGAGGAACTGTATTTGGAATAATAAATCTGGATTTGAGACCTGGCCTTTACAGTTTTGGGGTAAATGCCCTTGAGTCAGTCACTTGACCTTTCAGCAATTGAAGATTTACAAATTGAGGAACGGAACTGGAAATGAGCCGGGTCTTTGGTACACATGGGTCAGGAGAGTATTGTAACTAAATGGGGAGTGTGCTGACTCTACAAGGATTATCCAGCCTTCCTCTCTGCAGATCGAATTGAAAAGGATTATATTTTGGGAAAGCAGATTTCACAGTACTGTTATCCCAGAAGCTTCTTCAGGTAGGACACACAGGAAAACAGCTCTTTTATCCTTCAGAAGAGTTGCTGGATATTTTGGTTTGTTTTTCATGCAGATGGTGGTTTTGTGTCCCAAATATTCTCTGGAACTTTGCTGCTCAAGGTGCTCAAGGTGGTCATGCATCAGCTTTGCAGCAAAGCTTTTTAGAAATACAAATTATCAAGCATCCTTCAAATCAAGAGAGTTAGAAACTGTATTTCAAAATGATTCCAATTGACTCCTACACACACTGATGTTTGATAAAAGCTGTAGGATACATTCAATAGCTAAAAGTCATTATTTCAGAAATGAAGACGACAAATTCTGTTTTCAGTTTCCCAACAATAAATGACAAGCAAAATATTTTGGCAAGTTATTAAAAATTAAAATTATATTGAAAGTTCATAAAAATAAGAAATGTTGTAATACAATGGAGTGTTGCATTTGGAAAAAGAATAGAAAAAGTTTTTCAGGCAGTAGACAATTAAGTCCTGTGGGACAGAAGGCTACGTATCTTTTGATACATAGCTGACATTTAAAGAGCTTTACATTTTCATGATTCGGGGGTGACATAAGCATAGATAAGAGATTCATTCTAACGACTGCTTTATCAATATGTTAAAAATTAGAAAACCTGTTTCCAATGTCAGTGTTGATATTACACATGCATGCTTCTGGATTTTTCTTAAGTGCCCAAACTTTCTTTTTAGAAGCACTTTGGATTTACAGAGAAATTGAAACAGGAACCAACAGTAATCCCACCATGCCTTCTCCTCCGTGGTTTAGCTTCCTCTACAGCAAACCCTGCACCAGTGGGGTCACTGTTTCCCCCCTGAACAAAGAGTGATGCAGTTTTAATAAATTAGACTGTCATTAACTGTATGTTGGGTTCAGTTCTTTTACTTAGTCACAGGGAATTTGAAAAATATATAACGTCATGTGTCCACCATTATGGAATCATGCAGAATGGTTTCATGGGCCTAATAATCTCCTGTACTTAGCCATTCATTCTTTCCCACCCCCATCCCCAGTGTCCCTGACAGCCACTGCTCTTTTTCCTGTCCCTCTAGCCTTTCCTGTTCCAGGATGTCCTATAAACGGCACTGTGCAGCAGGGAAACTTTTCAGAATTAGTGTTTTCACATGGCAGTATGCACATGTGAGGTTGTTCTGTATCTTTCGAGGCCTTGATAGTTTTTCTTTTCACTACCAAATACTATTCCATTGTACAGTTATATCACAATCCATGTATTTGTTCACCTATCAGAGAATAGTAGCTGCTGGGGGATTTGTGTGCAGGGTTTTGTGTGGCCAGGAACTTTCACTTCATTTGTGTAAATAATCATGAGTGCAGTTGCTGTGCTGTGTGGCCAAAATGCTTTTGATCTGCCTTCGGTGGTCACTCTGCCCTTCCTCATTCTCAGCAGCCTGTTTTGCCAGCGCTTGGGACTTTAGCAGTCACCTGGGCTTTCTATCATAGTGGAAAGCATAAGCTATTTTACAAACGATGACCTGTATTAGGGTGTTCATAGAATTGTCAAATTACATTTGTCTTGGAAATGCAAGGAACAATGTGCAATGCACACGCTCGCATCAGTGTGTATACATTTAAGGGGCAAACATTGCAGGAAAAACCAAGCACCAAAATAGTCTAGGTGTGATGTTTTGGAAAGGCATTTTTAAGCAGGATTTTTTTTTTTTTTTTTTTTGCCAGAAGCTGTATTTGGGGGCATTCTAATCATATTTTAGTTGTTGCCTAGTAATAATTCCATTGTCTTAGAAAGGTCTATTTCTTTTTCTTAGGACTCTGTCTACCTGTCTTCTGTACCTAGCTCCAAAGTTTTCCATTCCTTTAAGAGAAATGGTTGTTTCTGCTCTTTGAGGACTTGAGGACGAAAGGCTGAGCTAAGAGCCTGCCAATCCCTCAAACAAAGAGGCCTGGCAGAGAGGAGTTGTCTGTGTTACCTGATTAGCTCAGGGTAGTGTAGCTGCTGGGCCTTTTTCCCACTGTGAAAGTTGGCTTCTTTATGTATTTTGTTAAAATATATAAACTGTAAACCAGTTTGCTCTTAACTTTGTGTCAACAAATACTTATGTGGGTGATGTGCTCTTTGACTTTTGTAAACTAAGTATTTTGATTTCCTGTGAGTTATCAATGATATTTGATGTTTAAGTAATCCTTGTTGAAGAGATTAATTACACATTTGGCAGTTACATGCTTTCCCTGGCTGATCAGACTTGTAAACTTGCAGACTTCTGGTCCACCTTAGCACTATTGAATCAGAATCTTTGATCAATGCACTGGATTTAGCGCTTTGAGATTTAAAAGTTCCCAAATAGTCTTTAGGTATCAAACTTAAGAACTCTTGCCTTAATGATTGACCATATATCATAAATCTCTAAATTCTTCTAGAGCAAGAAT